CTGCAGGAAGCCTGCTTCTCCCTCTGCCACTCCCCCTGCTTGTGTTCCCTCTCTCGCTGTGTCTCTCTCTCTGTCAAATAAACAAATAAAATCTTTTAAAAAAATAAATAAATAAAGCACTTTATGATGGGAAATGTCTACAGGATAAAAGATATCATAATGAAAAGACAAATCACAGATTGGGAGAACGTACTTGCCGCTTCTGTAACTACAGTGACTCGTGTCCAGAATATACAAAGAATCCCTTAAAAAGAAAGAATGGGCAACAAAAAAGAACAAGCTGAAGATGTGCTGAAGAGAAAAATCTTAAATGTCAATAAGCATATGGAAAGAGCCTCAGCTTCACGGCAATCACAGAAATGCAAATGAAAACAGGATCGCTGACACTGTCATGCTCACAAATACGACAAAAATCAAAGTCTGACGTTAAAAAGGAGAATGTCAAACTTACTTTGAATGCACCCTCCGATTCCATGGATAAGAGATCCCCATCAAATGGAATGAGGTCGAGGCTGTACTCCTCCCTATGAATAAAGGATCCCAGAACACCCAGATCCTTCAACCGCTGTTCGCACAGTAAACTACGTCGCGGCACAAACAAAATGTGGAAATCTCTTGCTGGACCACGTCTGTCTTCACTGCAAATGAAGTAACATTTGTTAGATTACAAGCACCTACGAGTCGTAGCCTATTTCACTTATTTTATTCCCAGCGCCTGGCCCGCGGCCTGGCACACAGCACGCACTAAATAAATGCTGGTCGGATAAACATACACATATTGACTTCCAGATTCCAACTGTTATATAGTTGCTCCTTTGCTCTCTTTTTCCGTGACAGGAAAGAGGCATTGATTCACAGCCAGTGTTTCGTGATGCATTCTCTAGCTTTCTCTTAAACCGTTTATGGGGCTTTAAAGCTCTCAGGTTTATTGAAACAGGATATCTGTGTCTTACTGAAAACAAATGACTCTTTAACCCCACCAATGCAGTGACACAGTCTTACAGGAAAATGGAAGATCACTCTTGACTCCCAGGTCTAGTCTCCTTGACAGTGGACTTCCCAAAATAGCCCATATGCTTTTAAGATCTTAAGGGCCATATCAATCAACTGTACCACAGAGTGCAGATGGGGCTGAGAACTTCCTCTACAGATTGGATGCTATATTAAATTTTAATCAGCTCATACTTATTTTGCTTATGAAATTCAAGCACACTATATTGAGAGTATTGAAAAATAACCATTAGGGGTTTTGGTTTTGTAATCAGAGTCCTTTCTATTGATATAGGTCTCAATTTTAGCTGTCCTGAAAAATGGGGTTTTATGTTGCCCCCCTTCTCTAACTGTTTGACCAACTTCACGAGTTTCCCATCTGCCGTCTTATGTTCTTTCATGCCTGCCCTGTTTTCTAAAACACCACCTTTTCATGCACTGGCAAGATGAGGAATTGCAATAAGAGGCTCAGGACGTTAAAACCATGAGAAGGACCAACCTCTTTTGGACCAAACATAAGCTCTGAGAGATACCTGAGCACATTTTCGGCAATTATATCCATCAGTTCTAGTCTGGGTCTGACAAAGAAGATAATATTCTTGACATCAGCTGCGGGCAAACGACTTCCTTTAAGTGTGAACATTTTTTCCACTTCATGTTCCTAGGAAAACACATACACAAAAGGTTAACAAAAACCCTGAACTTCACCTATCCTATCCAGATTCAGACATCATTAACACTCCCAGCCAAATGACATTATTACTTGATTAGCAAAATTTAGTTTCCCCAAAGTCAGATGTATAAAGGACAAAGTTTCAGGATTAAGTCACTGCTACTGCACCTGAATTCAAATGACTCTCATATGAGGAATTGTCAGTGACACTAAGTAATGGTCACATAATACAAGGCTAGTAATTTCCCTGGAATTAGGATCAGCATAAAATCACTGGCCAATGGACCACTGTATAAAGAATGTTAGACAAGTTGGGCGCCTGGGTGGCTCAGTTGGTTAAGCAACTGCCTTCGGCTCAGGTCATGATCCTGGAGTCCTGGGATCGAGTCCCGCATCGGGCTCCCTGTT